ATATATATATATGAATGCATACATATGCACACCACATCAATTGATGGATGCTTAAGTTATTTCCACATCTTGGCTATTGTGAATAATGCTGCAATGAACATGACAGTACATATGTATCTCTTTAAGATACTGATTTCATTTTATTCAGGATACATATCCAGAAGTGGGATTGCTAGATCACATGGTAATTCTATTTTTAAGTTCTTGAGGAACTTCCATATTATTTTCCATAATGGCCATGCAAATTTATATTCCCACCAACAGTATGCAATGGTTCCCATGTCCTTGCCAACAGTTGTTATCTCTTGTCTTTTTGGTAAGAGCTATCTTAACAGGTATAAGAGGATATCTCATTGTGGTTTTGATTTGCATTTCCCTGATGATTACTGATGTTGTGTACCTTTCCGTGTACCTGTTGGCCATTTGTATGATTTCTTTAGAAATATACCTATTCAGGTCTTCTATCTAATTTTTAATCTGTGTATTTGTTTTTTTAATTTTTTTTAAGTGTTTTTAATCATTTTTGAGAGAGCAAGAGATGGAGCGTGAGGAGGGGAAAGGCAGAGAGAGAGGGAGACACAGAATCTGAAGCAGGCTCCAGGCTCTGAGTTGTCAGCACAGAGCCCAACGCGAGGCTCAAACTCGTGAACCAACCACGAGATCATGACCTGAGCCAAAGTCAGGTGCTCAACTGACTGAGCCACCCAGGTGCCCCATAATCTGTTTATTTGTTTTGCTTTATGTTTTGCTATTGAGTTGTGTAAATTCCTTATATATTTTGGAAGTTAATTTCTTATCAGATATATGGTTTGCAAATATTTTCTCTTATTCCCTGGGTTGCCTTTTCCTTTTGTTGACTGTTTCCTCTGCTGTGCAGAAGGTTTTCAGTTCTATATAGTCCCACCTGTTTTTTATTTTTGTTTTTGTTGCTGATGCACGTGGTGTCAGACCCCATCTCCCCACATCATTGCCGAGACCAACGTCAAGGAGCTTTCCCCCTGTTTTCTTCTGGAAGTTTTATGGTTTCAGGTCTTATATTTAAGTCTTTAAAAAAATTTTTTAAGGTTTTATTTATTTTTGAGAGAGAGAGCGAAAGAGAGCGCAAGCAGGGGAGAGGCAGAGAGGGAGACACAGAATCTGAAGCAGGCTCAGCACAGAGCCTGACACAGGGCTCAAACTCATAAACTGCGAGATCATGACCTGAGCCAAAGTCGGACACTTAACAGACTGAGCCACTCAGGCGCCCCTATGTAAGTCTTTAAAACAGGTTGAAAATTTTTTGTGAGTAGTGTAAGATAAAGGTTTTGTTTCATTCATTTGCATGTGGACATCCAGTTTTCCTAACACTGTTTATTGAAGAGACTGTTTTTTCCCATTGTGTGTTCTTAGCATGCTTGTCAAAGATTAACGGATGGTATATGTATAGACTTCTTTCTGGGCTTTCTATTCTGTGTCATTGGTCTACGTATCTGTTTTTATACCAGTACCATGACTTTTAAATCGTTATACTAGGAAAGGGCCCGCTTCAACAATGAAGAGGTTGCCTATCACCATACAAGCTCCACATTTCATCAGCCATCACAAGCATTTGGAAATCTGTGGGGCAGTTTGGATTATTACAAGGGGAGCACCAAATTGCATTTATTTAGTGGGACGTGACTAGGGATGCTCATAGCTCTGATGGCGGGGGATGTTCTACCAAGAAGTCTCCTGCCCCAAATGCCAGTTGTGTCTCTCATAAGAAGCACTCCATTAGGGGGCCATGATATGTATTTGATAGCACATAAGAGATTCTCAGTAGATAGAATAATTATGAGTATTTATATTAATGAAACCCATTTCATGAGGCCACTGGGGGCGAAGCTCCTGATATCCAGGTCAGGCTCTGCTGAGGGTAGTATAAAACAAACATGCAAATAGCAGGAAGCCTGTGGAAAGCAGATTTATGAATCTGACGCTTAGATTTAATTCAGTAAGGCTAGGATTAGGCCTTAGAATTGCATTTTGGTAGCAGACACACAGTGGGCTCGAAAAGTGATCTTATGGCCAGGCGTGCAGGTGAGTGCATCCCGAGTTGAGACCAAGGAAGGTGAGGGTGGAAGTAAGAAGGAGGGAGACAGAGCCACAGCTTTGGGGAATGGCAAAACATTTATTTCATGGGTCAGAATCATCAGAGCACCTTTTAGTGAAGTTAATGAATTTGAGTTGGTCAAATTTCTCCCTTGGATCCCATATGGGATTCAGTTATGACTCTGGCATGGTGGGTATTGACTCTGTTTACCCTAGTCCTCTATCCCCCACCCCTACTCCATGTTTCTAACCCCACCTGAGCTGGACCTCTGTTTCTGGTGAAAAGTTCTCTTCTTCTGGTTCCACATTTCTACCTCTATTTTCTAACAAGAAGCCATCTCTGGGGTGCCTCCCTTTCAAAGCATTCTCGGTGATGTGGTTCACTACCTCTTACTACTTTGTGAGCTGGACCCCTGCATTCTGTTCCATTTCTGTTACCTGCTTTGCGTTCCCTTTTTGTCTTTTATCTAGAGATAGGGGATCCTACTTGCCTTTTGTCTGTTGTGTGCAAGAACTGGAGGTTTCCTAAACTAAGTCCTCTTTCTGTGGTCCCCCCTCAGGACCTACCCCCTCTGCCACCAGCATTACTTAGCTCTTTAACTCTTAAAATGCACTGAGAAGCACAGAGGAACCTATTTACTGGGACATACAAAAGACCATACACTTCCATCACAAGCAACATGGGCTGTATAGAAATTTATGAATATTTGCTGCTGCTCAATGGTGTGAATTCACAATTATGCACCAAGCATTTATTTTATGTCAGGTTCTAAGCTAAGCACTGTGGAGGGTGCAAAGACCAGCCAGATGAGTATAAAAATAAAATGAGTTTTGAGATGCTCTCAAAAACCTTAGAATATAGTTAAGCTTTCGATCCACTCTCCAGGTTAAAATAAAGACAGATTTTAGGGGCGCCTGGGTGGCTCAGTTGGTTAAGCATCTGACTTCACCTTAGGTCGTGATCTCAGAGTTTGTGGGTTGAGCCCCACATTGGGCTCTGTGCTGACAGCTCGGAGCCTTCTTCAGATTCTGTGTCTCCCTCTCTCTGTCCCCCTCCCCTGCTCACACTCTGTCTCTGTCTTGTCTCTCTGTCTCTCTCTTTCCCTCAGAAATAAATAAAAAAAGACATAAAAATAATTTTAAAAAAAGACAAAAAGGAAGCTTTTATTATTTGAGGAAGACAAAGAGAAGGGATGGCAGTGTTAAACTTCCCCTTTAGCTCCTCCTAAATTACTTGACACTGTAATTCTCAAGTGATTCTGCAACTGTAGTAAACAGTTGCCCACTAGTTAGAGATCTTTTCCCTCATCTCCTTTTTCCAGTGAGAATGAGACAGGAGAGCACCTGGATGTTTCTTTCTAGCCTGTTGACTGTTTCAAGCTGTAGTCTCTCCCTGGATCCTGTTTTGTCTGTCTGTCTATCTATCTATCTATCTATCCATCTATCCATCTTTCTATCTATTTAAATTCAGGTTAGTTATCATATATGTAGTATTGGTTTCAGGAGTAGAATTTAGTGATTCCTTACTTACATATAACACCCAGTGCTCATCCAACAAGTGCCCTTCTTAATACCCATCACCCGTTTAGTCCATCCCCCCAACCACCTCCCCTCCAGCAACCCTCAGCTTACTCTCTGTGTTTCCTGCGAAAAGTGATCCTATGGCCAGGCGTGCTTAGAAGGCAGGACAGAAGTTGAAAGTTAACCATCTAACACGTGAGACAGTGACTGCTACCATTCATGTTGATACAAAGAGGAAGACAGTCCATGGATGCTTTCCAAATGCTGAGAAGGTGTCTAACTTATGCTAATGTCTCTTCTGTGCACTCATTATATTTCAAAGAAGCCGAGAAGGTTATTTAGGCTCTGTTTGGATTATCTCTCACCATGTGGTACAGGGATGTGTATGAGTTATGCTCTCAGGAAGTGCCTTTAGGCTATCTAATATCATTTTGGTGGACAAACCCACTATGTTTAATGTCTACAGCAATACCGAGCTTACGTGGCCTTCCCAGACTTTTTCCGTAATTCAACTGCCACATGGTGGAAGAGGGAGATGCGAGAACTATATACCAATCCACGGGATCCAGAGAAGAGCTTGAAGTTTGATGGCATGTGGATTGTAAGTGTGTGGGTTTATGTCTGTGCCCATGTGGACAGGTGAGTTTCTGTCTTTGTGTGTCTAATCTTATGTGACCATGACCTTTAATTAAGAGGGATAATAATCATCCAAGAAAGACCTTGGAAATATCTGATTGGAGCTTCTCCAGTAAAACACCAAGGTGATTACTAAGGAATTTCTTGGAATTGAGCCTTGCCTCATACCCTGAGGGAGGATTTTTTTTTTTTTTTTTA